GAAGCCCTACACCTGCGGCCAGTGCGGAAAGAGCTTCCAGTATTCCCACAACCTCAGCCGCCACGCGGTCGTGCACACCAGGGAGAAACCCCACGGGTGCAAGTGGTGCGAGAGACGGTTCACGCAGTCTGGGGATTTGTACAGACATATCCGCAAATTTCATTGTGGCCTTGTAAAGTCCTTGGTTGTTTGAGATGCGTGATTTTTTTTTTTTTTTTTTTTTTTTTTTAAATTTTCCCCCCACCACCCTTTTAAAACGAAACAGGAAAAAAAGGCAGCATCTGAATTTAATTATTCCTCTCCCCCCCCACCACCCTTTATTTTATTTTGGTGATATTCACTTCAGGTATATGATCTTCAAAAGATGCAGAGGTATACACTCCAGAGGCCTTTTAATGCAATCCTTCCGCCTCTCCGTTTTCCCCCTTCCCCTGCCGCCCTCCCTTCCCGGCCCTGTCCTTTAGGTCTTCTCTTGCGCACCCATGTTACATTATTAATGTGAAATGATCTAAGTAATTCTGCAGTGATTTAGCATCTGTTTTCATGCTGGAAGTACTTGCTTCGTGGTCAGGGGTTTTTTTTTTGGTTTCGTGTTGGGTTTTTTTTTTTTTTAGTTTCAAAAAAGATTATCAGCAAATTCCGGAGAAAAATTTGGATTCCATTAAGCTCCCCTAATGCTCTCTGCGTGTTGCATAGAAACATCCGAAGAGATGAACTATGATTTAAATACATTTCAGTGTAGAGAAACTTGTCTGCATATCGCAGAGTAAGCGGCCGTACTCTTATTTTATAGAGCTACACGAGACCTTAAATTGGCCCCGGTTGTAAAGGGGGTTGAAGATTCCTGGCTGCATCTTTGGTACTGGTCATTTTTTATTCTCTTTATTATATTAGAACAGTTCCGCAGTCAGTCCTGAAATCTGAATGAGAAGTTTTTGCCTTGGGACTTGACTTAAATTTTCCCTTCTCTCCCGTCCTCGCCTGTGGGCTGACCTACTGAAAACCTGCTTTTGAGCATAAAATGTGGATGGAAAAACTCCTTTTTTTTTTTTTTTTTATTGTCCGCAGCGTATTCACTCCCAAAATACTGAAGGATGCGCACTAGGACGTAGAAAAATCATATAATATGTGAATTACTTCATTCCCCTGTTGACAGCCAGGGGCTGATCGTGTCGCCTGCGGTGGGGGACGGCAGCGCTGCCGCGGCTCCTGGGGCGTCCTCGTTCAAGCTAACCCGTACCACGTGTGTCAGGAGAAGCCCTGCCATCTTGTCCAAAAAGTTTGCTGCTACGCTAAAACGAGCAGCTCAGAATTTTACCCTATTTTTTATGAAGTTGGTGATTCCCTCTGGGCCAAACTCTGTGCGATCGCCAGTATTTCGAAGGGGCAGTATGAAGTTAAGCCGCTCGAGGGAAAGCTTGGCTTGCCAAATTCCCCCCCCCCCCCCCGTGTCCCACCTTTTCAGGGGAGGTTTTGGGGTGGGTTTTTTTTAGTTTGTTTGTAAACTGAGGCTGCCTGTAACTATAACCAGTTTTACTCCAAATAACTCAATTACTTGCCTAATAGAGCATCCTTTGGTCTGTGCATGTCGGTAAGTATCAGATTATCCCCTTCCAGGCAAATTACCTGTTCAAGGTACACGTACCCGGGACTGAAATATAATAATAATATCTGAGGGTTTTGAATGTCGTTCTGCTGCATTAGCATTGCTTCACCAGCTTTCCTGACACTCCTGGAGTTGTTTTGTGAAACTTAAGTGTTTATTTTTTAATTAATTTGAAGCACTGAGTTAGATTATTTTAAAAAGTTGTGCTTAAAATACTGTATTTCATCTTATGAAGAAAAAATTTCCCAATGCCTTCCCCCTCTGGTCCAAAAACTGAGCACTACCTACATAAATAATATGGGATTGGTTTTTTTCTTCTTCTTTTTTTTTTTTTTTTAAATAAGTACTTCCTCTTTTAAAGAAAATCAGGATCTACTTGTTACAGCCTCCTCTTATTATTCATCTCTTAAACTATGAATGTACATGTAATGTGAAATTTTGCTTCTATTTATAGTTTTGGGGGTTTTTTTATTTTCAGTCTAATTTCTCGACTGTAAAATATTTTTGCTGAACCTGTTACGTATGAAAGTTGTGGGAGAGTACTGTATCTTGAACATAAGTGGCTTTGGTACTGTGGTCTTATTCTACTTAATCATTTTTTTTCTTCCTTTTTTTTTTTTCCTTTTTGCTGTGATTGGAAATAGCACTGAACAAAATCTACTAAAATTAAGTTATTTTTCTTTCTACTAAAATTAAGTTATTTTTTTCCTCCTGAAGATACTTGATATAGTATTTATTAGATTTTTTTTTTTGAAGTGGAATTATTACTGTTAATCTATTTCAAGACTAGTTAATTTACACTTCACTTTAAATTTTATAACAATGGGTTTTGCATGTTGAACAACATGTAAAGAGTTTAATGTAGAGTCAGCATTACTGAAGCTGGTAATCTTAATTTTGCATTCTTGTGACACTTTTTTTGCATTTCAGTCTTCAATTACTGTGGGTTTGTTTTTTTTTTTTTAAGATCAGAAAATAGGATGTGCCATAAGAACATCATTAGTGTATGGAGCAGGGAAAAGTTGAAGCAAGTTTGTGTCTGATCTTAGTGTAGAAATAATTCATTAAACTGATGCTATGAGCATGCTCTGTACTGCAGTGAATATGGGGCAAAAGTTTTTTTAAAAAAAAAAAAAAAAAACAAACAAAAAACAGACTTTCTCATTCTTTACTACATCATGAACACGCTGTTCTCATAGTCTGGTATTTCTGTTCCCACTCCTCATAGCTTGAATTTCTAAAGTAAAAAAATGTTTGCACTTATTTTTGTTCTTAAGGTGACTTTTTTTGGCTATCTCTCTGTGTGTGTCTCTTATTTTTAAGTTGCAATAGCTCGGAGCATGTTTTCAAAATGGTTCATGGCTCTACAGAGAAGTACTAAAAACATTGCACACTTACGCTTGTCTCTTCATAAACTATTTCATTGTGGGGCGGTTACTGTCTCTGTAGGGGACAGTCCCGCTCTGCATTTTAAACACTGGATTTGTCTTCTACTACAAACAAATACTGTGAAGTTAATGTAAAAAAAAAAAAAAAAAAAAAAATTGATATTTTTAATTGTTTTTAATCTTGGTGCGGTTCAGATTAAATATGTATATTTAAAGACACTAATTTTTGTGGGAGAGTTTTATAGTATACAGT